AGTAACCTGCAGTCCCTTTAACCTGGGTGGTAATATACGAAGCTTCACTTTCATTCATACCAAAGCGAGCAAATCCAAAATCTGTAACCTTAGCACGTAGTGTTTCTGTAAGAAGAACATTGGATGATTTAATATCTCTGTGGATAATAGGGTGATCTGCACAGAGAAAGATTAACTGTTCTTTATTGAATGTTCTTAAGAGAATAAAAGAGTCATAATAGAGAATACATAAGAACTGTCTAGCTATCAAAGGATTCAAAGATGCCTGTAGAATATGTTTGAAGGTTCAAAACTAGATAAATATAGCAATAACTGTGACCAAGAAATAAATCAAAACAGAACTTCTCTACTTATGTTCAAGAGATTTTAACAGGGCAGTTTGTGAAGATGCAAGTTCATCAATCATGTCCGCATGTTCGCTGGGTCATGTTGATCAAGTCACACAACGAATTTCATTCTGGTCCAAGATCTCAGTAAGGATTGAATGGTTTGTGACAAGTTGACAAGAAAATATCAACTCAAGATCAAAACGATCCCCACCTTCACCCAGTCTCATGTTATTTGCTCCACTGTGGAATAATTCGGACTAGACCTACTGGAGGCATTTTGTTTCTCCAGATCTTTTGGCACAAATTGAGATAGACTTTATTATAGTGTGATCTTTGAGTCTCCAATTTCTATGCTAAATAGCCGACAAATTTGTAGATTCTAAAAAGGTCGAAAGAAATATAATTCTTAGTAAACATGTTTCAATTGATATAAAGATAAATGGAACATGAGGTATATTTTTGAAATGTAATCTTGTTACTAGATTGAGGGCATTAAAATTAGAATTTTCTTGTGGCATTCTTGTCTGCCTAGTCTTAATCTCTCTTCTTGCACAATTCAATGATTTTAATAATAAGCTAACAATAAACTCTTAATGAGATTAGAATAAGAAAAGATAGAAAGTTTAAGTAAGACTATGATTGCCAATCTACACCATTGATTCTCATTTTCTCATCTTGTGTGAAAAATACTGTTTTGAATGTTGTTTAAGACGTGGAAGATTAAAAAACCAATTCTACATTTTAATGGATTGGAGTATGTTTCTGATAAATTCTTCTTGATAATATGGCATGATAACAAGGTGGGTGCGGCTGATTTAATTTTCATCTTCAATTGTTTTTGACATATTCATTTTCTTTCTTAAACCGTCTCCGGCCCTCCATCCTCACCCCCTCTCTCTCTACAAGTAATACCCACAACATTAATCTAATTAGAAACTAAGAATGCATAGTTTTAATCCAACTAATTAAGTGAAAAATAAAATTAACATCCTCTTATGAAACAACTAACACAGTTGTCAGATTTTTTGTAAAAAATTTGGTTTCTGAAAAGCTGATTTAGAATCTCACCGTAGAACACAAACTAAATTTTTGAAATTATAGCCGTATGTTTGTACAAGGAATAGCACATTTTAATATCTAACAAATCATCACCTGTATACATGTGGAGGTAAGTAACAGCATGAGCAATGTCAATTGCAATATCCAGACGTGCAGCAAAATCAAGAGGCTTTCCTTGTAAGCCTACATAACCAAGAGCATGTCATTCATGAAATTTGATGAGCTCAGAATAGGCAAAGCAACTTCAGGATAAGAGGTATTCCATAGAACTCACAATCGAGATGATCCCTCAGAGTTCCATTAGGTACATATTCAACAACTACTACTTTCTCTCCATCTTGCTCTACATATCCAATGAACCTGACTAGATTGAAATGCTCTACACGAGCCAAGGTTTTTATCTCAGTCTGGAACTCCATATTCCGACAGTTATCGCGGACTCCCTGTGAATAAGATTGCAGTAAAAACAGAAGCTCTTCTTCACAACAAAATAAGGTAAGGATCTCACCAACTCACCATCTTGGCGCGTTTAACTGCGACGACGGTTCCATCATCAAGATTTCCTTTGTAAACTGTCCCAAATCCTCCTTCCCCAATCTTAAGAGAGGAGCAGTTCTCAGTTGCTTTAGAAATCTCCTGTAAAGTAAATTTTTTATTACCAGGTTGTTTTTGGGATGGATTAGATCCTGTGGCATACAATCCTCTACTTGAACTTCTCATCCTGCTTCCTTGGGATCCACCATGGCTGCTTCCCGAAAATGTGGCTAGCAATGATGAATCAAATACAGTTAATCTCAACACCTCTGTGGACTACACTTTATTATATTAATTGATTTCAAAAGATAAATTTGTAGAAATTTTAAAGCAATCACTAGTTTTGTGAATTTAAACAAGACGAACAGAATGCTTAAGTTGGCTTTGATATAAGGCTTACTAGTATAAAACTAATCATAATCAGTAGCCTTATAACTTATATCTAACTAACATTAAGGCTTACTTTGGGACAGCTTTTGTACTGCTTCTTAAAATAGTTTTTTAGAATAATTTTTTGTACTAAAAAACTGTATTAGAAAACAACAAAAAAGCTGTCCCAAACAAGCCTTAGGCTTAAGGCTTCATTTGTAACAGCTTTTGGCAACTATTTTTTCATTGCTTTCAAAATATTTTTATGCTAGAAAGTTGCTTTAGTCTTCATTTGGGACTGACATTAAAACAGTTTTATGTGCTACAAAGCTGAAAGCCGTCCCAAAGGAAACCTTAGAAAGCAAGAAGAAAGCTGTTCCAAACGAAAGCCGCAGGCCGAGAGGGCCGTCCAAATTCGTTTCGACGCTACCGGCTGCCTGTTGGAAGGAGATTGGAAGAGGGACTGTCCATATTCGTTTCGACACTCAATCCAGACGCGCCACGTCACCAAAATACACCGGGACCCAATGTATTAGGGTGATGTGGCGCGTCTGGATTGAGTGTACGGATGTCCGGTGACCGGACATAATAATTTTCCAACTGGGAAAATTATTACGTCCGGTGTCCAGATTTGTCCGGGCACCAATCCAGATGTGCCACATCACCAAAATACACCGGGACCTAATGTATTCGGGTGACGTGGAGGGTCTGGATTGGGTGTCTGGACGTCCGGTCAGATCGGACGTAATAATTCGCCCACCAACTGCCGGTTGCTATGGCATGCGCTTAAAAGAA